GAGAGAGAGAGAGAGAGAGAGAGAGAGAAAGTTGGAGCTAGAGAGAGAGAGAAAGTTGGAGCTAGAGAGAGAGAGATAGGGGGAGCTAGAGAGAGAGAGATAGGGGGAGCTAGAGAGAGAGAGATAGGAGGAGCTAGAGAGAGAGAGAGGGGGGAGCGAAAGAAAGAGAGAGGGGGAGCGAGAGAAAGAGAGAAGGGGAGCGAGAGAAAGTGAGGGGGAGCGAGGGAGAGAGAGAGAGTGAAAGAGAGAGAGGGAGAGAGAGAGAGGAGGAGGAAAATATTTTTTAAATAATAAAACAGTGTTTCTCTTTTGGCCCTATATAAAAAACCGCTCTTTGGATGCATACACAGGATCACTACAATAAATGACTGACAGAAACCTTGCCCACAAATTGCTCATTGTGAGACAGCGACACCACCCTGCCCCCACATCTCAGTGTAAGCTTGTAGATGTCATCCCCCGGCTGTCTAGACGTCTCCACGTGCTCCACGTGAGTCTCGAAAACTACTCACCCCGTCTCTTGAATCGTGTTTCTTTGGCGAACGTTAAAGAGTGGAGTTGAGGAAACTGTGTCAACTTTTCAATGTTTTAGGTGTTTGCTGTAAATCCCCTATTATTGTTTGACCCACTTAGTCTGCAGTGACTTTTATGAATGAGCTTTTATATTCTGGTGGTTGCTTCACTTTTGGACTGGCATGCGAAGACACAGAAAGACAGAACGTCAGACGACAGTGAACGAGCTAGAGTTGATGAATGTGTGAGCAGTGTGTGACCAGTGTCACTGCTAGATCGGACTCACCACGAGTAGGCTGGGCCAGGGCGTGGGTTGTCTCACGTGCGATCTCACAGAGCACGAGCCGTCTCGGGGTCACCAGTTTGAGTCACTTCACAGGACGCCCAGCTGTCAAGTGAGTGCCGTCCAAAGCACATCTACATCCAATGTTTGTTCACAACCCTTTTATACACATGTGCGCAGGAATCATAAAACGACATTATGTTCACCTGGACTATTTTTCACGCTGGCCTCGTGCAACTTGGCCGCTACTGTGTCTTTGTGAACCCCCCCCTCTTCTCCTCTGTCTCCCCCACCCCTCCC